GGTATATGTAAAACTAAATCAAAATAAAATCAATCAGATTTTTTGACAGGTAATGGCAAATTCCTCTGTCGTCTATATTTATTTAAATTCCAATTCAAATAACATCATTTTAGATCTTCACTGACACGTGTTTTGTAAGCATTCCAGCACGCAAGACGTAAGGACATTTTAATATAGTACTCGGAGTAGTTTTGCATATATACGTTTTACATTTAAAACGAATACCTTCAAAATATGTTATTTGAAATTCTTGAAAAATTCTATTTTTCTGTTAATAAATTTACTAACGACAAAACTTATTATAAGCATGCACTAAGGACGGCAAAAATATTTAGTTATGTCAAAACCGTATTGCATTGTTGAGAAGGATGTATTATAATTCAATATAACGAATTATATTCTGACCACGCGAAGGAATACGCAGGGGAAATAAAGGATTGCTATTATTGTCAGCTAACTGGATGTAGTAATGCCTGCTTGATTGAAATATTAAACAGCTCCTTCATTGTAATTGCGAGTTAATCGGTTCTCTAGTACTTCTATAAACTTATATAAATAGCAGAAATTTTGAACTTTTGTTTTAATATTTGGATAAACGAAAATATAACTATTACATTTTCTACTTGCTCAAATAAATTTAAAATATAACTATTATATCTATAATTTTTACCATCCAAATAATTTAAAAAGTTAAATTAATAATTTGTTTAATAAAACGTGATTTATTTGTTGTTATTTTATTAATTGCACATGTTTTAATCATAACCATTAAAGATGTTATTTTTTGAATAAAAAGAAATGTTTACACAGCCATTATGTTGGCTTGTATTAAGAAATACTCTGTGTATGGTGGTTACAATTGTTCTTCGTTGACTTTTATCGTAGCGTTGCCCACATACAGTTGTTCCAGACATGTGAATCCATCCGTGCAGTTTCTGCATGTAAAACTCCTCTACAATACCCGTTATGTTATTCTACAAAAAGATATTTAAAAAAAAATATCTCAACACGTCACCAAAATGAACAAATTAGATGCTAAATAGTTTTGTCCTTTACCTTGAACTCTTCAAATATCTACTGTATGATACAAATCAATCACTCGGACACACCGATGCTAACATGACAAAATATCATTATAATCATAGTGGTTCACTCGTAATGATCTTTTTTCGGGTTGAGGTAGCAAGGGCGAGTGTATTCAGTTAAAACGGACGTCCATTATCATACTCTTTATTTTCCACATCCATTATCACTTCCTAGAATATATTAATGATAAAACCATTAGTTATAGGACAATTGCCTATTTATTCTCTTTTAAAAATACGTATAAAATTACTTCATGTTTCTGAAAATGTTACTTGTATTTGTTATTTATGTAAAAAATGATAAATTTCAAACAGCACCTTACAGTATCCATGGTGTTGGTACGGTCCATTCAAAGGCAATGTTTGCTGAAAATGTAAGTAAACGATCTAAATATAAAAAATACAACTTCATTATAAATAATGTTTATCAAATAAATAATAAATGGCTAGAAAAAGATGAAATCATCTTATTCTAGTCATTTATTATTCATCATTTAAATAAATATATATATGTACAATTTGTATTGTATTTTTTGTGTATTGGGTTCTAGGGTCGCAGTGGTAATTGGGACTTCCCGTAAGTCTCAATTACCACTGCGACCTAGAAATACCTATTTTAGTTTTCCCTTCCGAAACGTTGCCACCTTACTTTAGGATATAATTATCCTGCGTTTTGTTTAAAAACAAAACATTTCACATGCATAAACTGGTACTTATTGTGGTAGTTCACGCAACAGCTTCGGCTGTTGCACGAATGGGCAGGTCCGTCCGGGTAAGTACCACGCCTTCACAGAAGACCGCCGTTAGGTAGAAGTACGTTCGTCTCTTGTATCTTGTATTAACTGATGTTTTGCTTTCAGTCCCGAGACTATTAAAGCTTCATCTGACACCATCCGACATCTGACATCAGTCCCGAGACTATTAAAGCTTCATCCGACACAGAACCGGTGTACTAGGCAGAACCCACGGGTACGTTCGTCTGCGTCTGAGTGAGGTAGCCGGGGCCCACTTTATCAAAAGTTGGCAACGCATCTGTAACCCTTCGGGTGTTACAAATGTCAATAGGTAGCGGTTATCACTTACATCAGATGAACCGCCATCTCGTTTGCCACCTTCACATGTAAAAATTTTCATATACGTTTTACATATTATATTTTCTCCTAACTTCAGAAACAGGTAAGAATATAATACAACGAACAGCAGACGAACCTTCCCATATTAGCTCGTGCTAATAGATCTTTGTACATATTACGCAAAATGTATCACATAATCAAATAAGCAAAAGTCTTTATTTTACACGAGGTATAATTTCCGTATGTCATGAATTAGCGACATACAACTAACTATAAAATTCTATAGCCTGAGCGATAAGCGTTTAGAATCTGCGAATTTGTACCATAATTTTTAACAGCTCTTATGTAAGGTAAATGGGAATGTATGAACATTACGTAACGTCTTCTAATATAAATATTTACGGAAAATTTTAGAATTGTAAAAATCGAAAGCGTTAAGTGAGCAACTTCGTAATTTTATCCGCCTTTTACTACAACTTTACAAATGCAGCCGCAATGCCCATTTACATAATAAAAAGTATTATATTTTTATCGCAACAGCAGAACAAAATGTCATCAACCCAGAATCGAGCCATTTATCATTGATCTAAAGTTAAATAAAAACCAAAACGGAAATAAACTTTTCCACGACCTCGTAAAATAAAAAAATTTTCGCCATACTGTTTGTAATAAAATCATGTAATAAAATCGGGGATAACTTTTTAATAAAAATAAAATTTCCACGAATTTTGATAATACACGTTTATTAATCTCTGTCGACGTTTCACCTTGCATTCGCGAAACTTTCCAAGTGCGAAATCCGTTGATATTACCGTAAGCGAGTTCGCTGCGGCTTTTTCCTCGAAATTGTGATTAAGACAATGCCAGATACGGTCTAAAGACACCCTAATAGCTTGGATATAATAGCGAATCAAGGTGAATATTGAATGAGTCGTGATGCATATTTTTATTCCTTTAAGTATCGGTCACGGTGAACGGCATGAGCCTTGTGTCTCCTTACCCTCCGGCAAGGTGCGTGGAATAATGCCAACACTTAGGTCATTTATGCAACAGCATGTATTAAGTAAACTATTTGATGTCATTTACAATTCGTTGTATTCAAAAAACTCTGTTCACGTTGATAGGTTTTTTAAATGTGTAACAGAAAAATAACATACAAATTATAAACATAAATACACAAAAAATGTATGAATATAGTCAAACGTGACATTAAAACGTCAAACATCTCAGTTTGTCCCGCGACCGGATCTTTGGGTAAATTTGGGAAGAAAATAGTTTCTTTTATTTATAGTATGCGCAAATAAATTCTATCAGAAATCGAGCAAATACATATTTTGTTACAAACTTAATAACGTCAAAAACGTAATAAACCGGAAGTAGAGAACCCTAATTTTCCGTGAATTGTCACATGCACAGTTCAGGCAACAAACAGAGCGTCACTTTCCACTTAATTAGCGTAATTTACTTCCGGTATTGCGTATGTCGAACGAACTACCACAGAATACCTCTACGATAAGATTACACCCGCATATGGTCAGAAGTTCAGCATAATAAAGCCAAGGTACATATCGATACGAAGCACAAATCGAGAGCTGGTTTGTTAAGAGACGTTTCATTAAACAAAATGATATCTTGTCTGTATCAGAGAAATTATCAAACTTAAAAGTATTGGTTGTAAGAGTCTAACGCCCGGTTTCTGAAACACTGATCATCGTAAAAGTTAACTAATCAGCTGTCAAATGGGTTTTCAAATGTGATTTAAGTTGTCAAAAGGATGTTTAAACTCTTTGAATTGATCATTCTGATCATTAAGAAGTGTATTTTGTGTGTTATCATTTTAATAAACACTAACATTATGGGCTATACTTTAATACAAAGACGTTGCTTACAATTTTTTTTGTTTTTTGAAGTCTACTACAATACCTGAGCAGTTGCCTTGGCAACCGTAAAAGTTGGCCCGGATTTGGTTACTCTCTCACTATAATCACGAATCTCACCACGATCAATGTTAGAAGTTACATAGGCACCAAAAAGTTCTATAAATCTTCTGATAACTCCCCTGTATAGCTTAAATTATCTAAGCTTAAAATTATTCATTGTTGGGAAATTCATCTATAGTATAGTTCATCGCTACGTATAAAGAAAATAGTACGTATAAAGTAAATATCATTTTATACATTCGTTATATAAAAACATATTTTTTTATTTATTTTTATTATCATTTTTTTATGTCTGAAACATCATATTCCACATTCGTCATGGACATGGCACATGAACGACGTCACGACCGGAATTCCCGTATCTACGTCATCTGATACGTAAATCTTAACTGCGGCCGGCATCTCGAAAAGTTTTCTCGGTCATTATAAACCGGTTCCATGGTGCAGATTCGGTTGCAATGAATAAAGCGAGACAAACTTGATTTAATTCTTGGATGTGTAAAATGATATAAATGGTTGTAACCGATGTAAAAGCTCTAGTCGTATGGAAGCTGCCATGCCATTGCGTTGTGTGCTTTAAAACAATTAAAAGTCTTGTGGTATGTTGACTTCGAAGTGGTATATGCAAACACGTTTTATATTTTTGTCACCATTAGTAAACATGTAAATCTAGTTTTGATAAAAGCATGAATTGATCTTTTCAATCAAATTATATGCAATTAAAGAGCAAATATTATTCCTATTAAGAGAACATAATTTAATAGAATTAGCGCAGGTCTATTGAAATATTACTTTTATTTATTATTGCATATGATTGTTATCGTGGTATATGAATAATGTCAGTGTTAGAATGCTGTATAAAGTTAAAAGTGAACTTAAAGCAATGGTTACCTTGCAGAAAGATGGGCGAACTTGGCCGTAAGCTTGGATTGGACGAGTTGTCTGGTGGGGCGGCGAGCATCACCAAGGCATTACTCGCCGAGTTCGTTGGTAAGTGTGCAAAACGACTTGATTAAAGAATTATAAAATATTCACTGTTTTTATCTCGAGTTTAAAATACTTTTCTATTAAATCTATTTTACTATATTGCCAACATCAATTATTGCATTCATTTGAAACTTGCTATAAAACTGATTGCCGAAATTTCAAGTACCATTATGACCTGACTAATTGTTCCGGCACTCGCTATTAATTTAATATAATCGAGACTTCGAATCCCGGTGCCGTCACCAATGAAATTGTTAATTGCAATTTTAAGTGCTGACGGTGAAGAAAAACATTGTGCATATTTCGAAGATATGTGAAGACTAGCACAGGGGTCGTGTAGGGGGCTATACCCTAATACCCTCTGTACAGAGAGGCCTTTGCCCACTGGTGGGACATAGATAGGCTGTTACTTTACTTACTTTAATTTTTACCTATTTAATAAACAATAGACAGTAATGAAAGGCTCGATTTTGTTCAGGTAATCTGCTTCTAAATTTGTTCGGATGCGGCGCCTGCGTGAACATCGCGCAGGGCTCCACTGCAGCACCTAACATCGTGCTCATAGCTCTGGCTTTCGGACTTGCAGTTTTCGCTATCGTCTCTGTGAGTAATGATATCTACAAGCGACATATTTTTTTACATGAAAACCAGTCGTTATTGCATGCCTGCTAAGACTCTATTATGGAATTAATAATAGTTAACATGTTATAGTACTGAAATCATTACTCTAGAAAGCCATTTCTTTTAAATTTGCTCATTTTCGTCAATAATACTTTTTTTTAATTTATTTTGCGAATGTGAATGAGAATTTTCTAAAATGTTTAATGTCTCAATGTTGAAAATTTTTTACATCGATTTTATATAAAACTTTCAATGTGGAAACAACAATTCAACTCAAATATGTATACATAAAAGAAATTTTAAACCGTGTGATTCTTTATGCATATATTAACTATAGATTGACAACCATTTAACAAATATATTCATTGAAAAAAATAAACAGCACGCTTGGCAGCTTTTTTTACCATATTTGTCATAGGTTATTATTATGTAGGTGTACAAAATATGTACACTTATGACACAAACTTTGTACTACATTCATATTCGTAGTAGGTTTCGCCCGGGATTTGCCAGACTGCATTGGCGATTCAGATTCAATTGGATAATCAGAGCTACATTGCTGCGTAAAAAGTGATTCATCCAATACAATTGCGACGTTTGGAGAACTGTTATTTCTGACTCTTCTTATCGCCCTCAATGATATCCAATTATGCCAATTGCGGTGAAAAGTCTGAACTGCACGTTGGGTTAATTGGTGTAATTTAAAATTCTTAAAGATAGTATCAGAGGTTTGAAGCTTTTGGAATGTTGAAACCCAGTAAAAAACATTTTAAAACTGGTACCTACATATATTTTTATCAGTATGTACCATCATAACACAATTTGAGATATGAATAGTCATAAATTACACGATCTCCGAATAAATCTCACCATATTTGGGGAAGACACGTGGCATCTGGACAGACATCCTTCATCACAGCAGCACTCTTATTACAGATATGATTCACTAAGATCTTCTGCTATGCCTATCCAGTTGTTGAAAGCACACATAATTCTCTATAGTATCACATCCTCTCTAATACCCCATCTCATTGTAATTAAAAAAAAAACAAATAACAAAACCGACTCCAAATAGTGAGTAGGCTCACTATAAATTTTCGGTTCGATTTTGAGGAGATACGGATTCCAAGATCCGATTACCAATGAAACCAACATTATACCAAATGGGAGCGAAACCGAAGCCAACGCAAAAAGATTCTTCTCTTCTCTTCATAATATATGACGGTGTCCTGAGGCAAACATACAAAAGAGAACCGAATTGGGAACCACCTTTTTTAAAGTCGGTTGAAAAATACAGGCTATAGGCCACGTGTCGGGCGGGCACGTGAACCCGGCGGTCACAGTGGGCTTGGCTTCAGCCGGGCGGGTTAAGCCTGCCCGCGCCGTGCTCTACGTGATAGTGCAGTGCGCTGGCGCCGCCGCTGGCTCGGGGCTCCTCAAGGCTTTCACCCCGGACCGGGCGGCTGGCTCCCTCGGGGTCACTGGCCTCGGCGCTGACGTCACCCAGCTCCAAGGCTTCGGCATCGAGTTCTTCCTCGGCTTCGTGCTCATCTTCGTCGTCTGCGGAGTGAGTACTCCCACCCACGAGCTTAATAAAATCTCCGCGCATCAGAATTAAATGTGCAACGGTTTCCGATTGCGTTCGCTTGTTGCGTTTTTAAATTGATGTGTGCTTGTGTGTGTTATCTGGAGAATTGAGCGAGTTAAAGCGAGCTTAATATGAAACCTCTGCGCATCAACATCGAACGTGGAACGGAAATTTCGAAATAGCTTGTTGTTGTTGTTTTAAATTGGTGTACGCTTGTGAGTTATCCGAATGACGCTCATTACTATAAACAAAATATACAGACTAAAAATTATGAGATGCGATATTTTCGAGTGGGCTGCGAATGATCTAATCCGAATGTATCGCCAGTTATATCGATAAAGTTAACATTCAGATTTTGATATGCATTAAAACTTTACATATACATTGTTAACGAATACAATTTTACTTGTCATCGCATATTATCACTCGTAAAAATTAAATTTTATCAGAGATAAATAATACTATTTCTGTGTTGTTACAGTTCTTTTACATAAACTCACCGAATATACTCAATAATACTGTAACAATTACTAATGTGTGAAATAAACAATAACAAATAATTAAAAATAATTATAATGAATTAAATAAACGGACTATTTTGCGATCCTGAATTTATAATCAGTCTTGTTTTTGCGCGGAATTATTGAAAAAAAAATGTTTTAAACCTACAATGTTTCATGAAAGGAGATTCCGTTACTGCTTATATAAAATTTAACAACGAAGAGGTAAAAAAAATCATTGCATTTTCCTCATATTGCTGGAAATTTAGGCAAAATGGTCAGATTACTACAACCACATATTTTTATTACAATAATAAAGTCCAAACAGCAAATCTTTTAAGGGACCAGTGATTGAGTACATAGTAAACGTAATCTATCGGTGAATTCTTTGCATGATATAATGGTGAAGTTTATCTTTACCAGTATATTAATAAATTATCTAGATAAGGTTCAAAGTGTTGCCGCCGTGACGCCGTCATGTTTGATGTCTCTTGGCAAATTTATAAAACTTATGACCTTTACGTGAACATTAGCACGCCCCTCATGTGAAGGTTAGCAAATTTCCTTCAACATTTATTCGTAAGGACTGTTGACTCTTCGTTCGGCCATGATCACACAAATAATTGTTAGAAATGTTAATGTTTCTTTCCCACCTGATATTTCTGTCAGCAATACTACCTTTTTTTGTTATGTAGCGAATAAACATTTCTTTATTTCTGTCTTACCTTACCACGCCGAAAACTTTATTTCTACAACATGGGCTACGTCTAAGCGGTCGTAAAAAGAAAATATAAGAATCCTACACATTATTAAATAAACGACCTTTATGCGTTCTAAAGCGTTTGATTCAAATTGAAATTGTTTATTTATTTTCCAAATTCAAGGTTCATAATAGACTAATTTACGGAATATTTTTATTAAAATATAAATATTTAAATACTTTTATTTAGTAATGTTCCGGTTGCGCCGTTGATAAACTATTGGCTTCGGCGATGGGGGTAGCGGGTTCGATTCGCACACGGAACCAGTATTTGTGCGATCCACAGATAATTGTTCCGGATCTGGGTGTTTGCTTCCCAAGGAACCCTCCTTCGGACCGTTCGTAAAAACATAGCGGAAACCGCTTACAACATTATTCACATGTTGATCCGACCCCGCCTAGGTGGAACAATAGCGTGTGTAATAAATACAAGAAATTATCATTTAAGTTTCTTCGCACGCTATGGAGTACGCGGTGAAACCTTAAAACTCATTGAATCGAAACCATACTGACCGCAGGTGTGCGACGCCAACAAGCCCGACAGTAAGGCGACTGCACCCCTGGCCATTGGGCTCACGGTCACCCTGGGCCACCTCCTCGCCGTGGACTACACGGGGTCCGCCATGAACCCAGCCCGCTCGTTCGGTTCCGCACTGGTCGCCAACATTTGGAACGACCACTGGGTAAGTAGTCGTTCGGAGCTGAACGCATGTTATATAACTCTTACTTAAACTGTTTTACCTTATTTATTACAAGCTGTTATTCGCGGCTTCACCCGCGCGGCCAAAGGGAATTAACAATGAGTTTTTTATTATATACACCAGAATATCTCGTAGATGCCTGAATTTTTTCGTACTTAGTTGACACTTATCATTCATTACCTATATTTTGGACAATTCACACGACATCTTTATAAAATATAGCATATGTGTTATTCTGATGTATAAGCTATATTATTGTAAAGTTTCATTGAAATCGATTCTGTAGTTTTTGTGTGTAGAAGTAACAAACATCCATCCATACATATAAACTTTCGCCTTTATAATATTAGTAAGGATGTCAGCACCATCGCACATATAGATCGTTGTGAGGAAACAGTTCCAACAGGTTTTTGGGTTATTGACGAGTGCGAAATGACACTAAAGAGGTTACGATTGTGACCCTAGAAGTAGGGTCCCACTACATTCCTTATAATTTGTATTGTTTCAATGGTTTAGTATATTTCTTTGTTTTTGTGTTTATATATGTATTTACCGAATAATTGCTAATTTTATTACGTCATCACCGTAAAACCGTGTTGGTCCGTCTTGTAGGAAATACAATCATAGAATCTTTTTGCCGTTCTCTCGACGGAAACAAAAACAGAACAATGGGGCATTAGTAGTGATGAGCATCACACGAGTTGAAGTAATCATAAGCAGTTTATTTTATTTTAGTTTCGGTTCTCAACTGATACAATTACACAATATACATTTTAACTGTTTACATTATAAACACTTTCCATATCATTTCAGTGTTTCATCTTAAAGCGATTTTCGAACTGCAGCCTTAATTGTTTGATTTTTCTGCAAAGGATATATGACACAATATAAAAACTAAACGATCGCATTACACTCATAAATATCCGAATATTGTGTTTATTCCTTGCATATTAAAACAGGTTGTCGGCTACACTGACACTTCGGCTCGGAATGTTTGACATTGAAAAGCAGGTTTGTATGCAAAAAGTTCTGATGTCATAGGAAGTTATCGCCCATCTGGATATTATAAATATCTACGTAAACATGCATTCCTATTGCCTTTAAACCATAGAGGTAAGCAGAGATTGCGTATTCACCTCTCTGCGTTCTCACTACAAATAATTATTAGCCTGCTGAAATGGGATTTGGTTTTTGTTACTTCTATTAATCTTACATTATTGTGATGCCAATTTAATAGCTCGTGTTTCTTTCTTTCCCTTTCCAAATTCAAATATATCTATCACTAGCTGTTAAACGCGGTCGCCCTCGCGGTCAAAGGGAATTAACAATGAGTTTTTATTATACACCAGAATAGCTCGCAGATGGCAGAATTTTTTCCTATTTACATGACACTTATTGTTAAATTTTGGATAATTCACATAATATCTTTATTAATTATAGCCTATGTGGTATTCTGATGTATTACATATATGATTGTAAAGTTGCATGCATAAATCCATTCAGTAGTTTTTGTCTGAAAGAGTAACAAATATTCATCCATACATACAAACATTCGCGTTTATAATATTAAGTAAGGATTTACGTGTAAGTATTATATCATATACATCAGCTTGGAATATTGTTTTTTCATTTTCCCTTTATATACCTATTATGTATTGTATTTTATTTTTCAAACAAATTTAATAGTTTGTTTCTTTCTCAAAGAATGTTGTTCAAGAATGTTATCGATTTTTTCCACTGCGGGATGGAGATGTAATCATGTGTGCAGCAAAGGGCTGAGGCAATTTAACAAGGCCTCTCTTTCTATCCGATTACAATGTCTAAAGCTATAGTAATTAAGCATTTAATATTCAAACTGCAACATTATTAAACGGACTGGCCATTTAATAAGGAAAAACGTCTCCGAACATTTATTTAGCTATGTCGAGCAGTCGGCTGCGGATTTATCGCGACAATTTATTATTGTCCAATCTTGGCTCGTGTAGGACGTTACAGCGCCTTAAATGCCTCCGCTCTATCGCCCCGGTTCAACGCTGGCTGTCATGCGTAATTGCGAGGATTGGATCATAGTCTTTTCCAGTACCACATGGCGTAACACCGGCCAGCTATAGTCATTCCCTTCACTTTGTTTTGCAGAACGATGAATATATTAACGCACGTTGATGATGAATAAAATTGTCAACGGTGACGCCATCATTACTTTATTCAAATAATATTATTTCAAATAATATAATTTATTTTTATTGTTAATCTTCCCTTTAAAAATTTTACGCGATGATATATGTTATATTTAAGATTTAAATGTTCAGATTTTTCTCGTCATATCTAACGGTACTGATACCAACTTAGGAATTTTCTTCTTATGTTTAGTACTTAATAAAACCTAAATTTAAGAAGAAAATTCCTAAGTTGGCATCCAATTAAAAAATTAAAGTTTTTTAGGAAATAAATTCAAACCAAAACTTCCTAAACGTTTCGTATTTAAGAAGTAGTGGTTTGAATTTAATGGATTTTAGTGGGTTTTTGAGTTGCTTTAGGGAGTATTTTTTTGAACAGTTAGTGACACTGTCTAACGGTGGGATCTGTGTACCTCAACTGTCTACTGGCCTATTGCTTTCCCACTACTCTGATTTATTATATTAAGCAATAAAATTGCAAAAGAAGTATTAACAAAAGCAGAAAAATAAGAAAGCAAAGAGAGTATGTGACACCGACGTTGTGGTGATTATCATCAATTAATCGATATACATAAAATTGAAAATTACTCGACATTAGGGAGCTGAAGCATTAACACTGTCAATATTTAATAGGCCGCTCGGGCGTTGCTATTAAAACTGCATTACCACAAGGTCGCGGTTACACCAAGCGAACCCACATGCGAATAATGAGTAAAGTTCACATTTGTTTCCACTTGCGGGAATCCATCGAAATGTTAACACCAACTGGCAATATAAAGCAATCCAAAAACGGCCATACAAAAATGCGGTAAACCTCATTACGTCCCACGTTCGTATTTTTTACTGTGACGGTATGTACACGATAAGTCCAACATTTTGTGCACATATGTTGGTTTTCACAACATTGGATGATTTATAATAATAGTCTGTGTATTCCAACAGCGATATTATTCTGGATGTAAACAGAAAAAGCCAGGGAACACGTCGTCTATCTCGTCGTCGTACTTCCTTTTTACAGCGTCAGAAATTAAAGACTAGATTTTTACTAATACTTGAAGTGTTAGGTGTCTCAAATTTTTTATATATCATTCCAATCAAGTTACTATATGTTAAGGTATCGTTTGTGGTTATCTACAGGATTACAACTTCTTAATCTAAATCGATGACAATTTTCTAATGGGAGTAGTAAGAAAAGGGTCGCGCGGTTTACATGATGCCGAGTGATTTTCGCCAGCCATGAACAACTTGCGCCTGGTTGCAGTTGTGTTACTTGACCTGTGTTCACCTTCGTTAGGGCCCCGTTACCTCACTCACCTCTCGAAATGCAAGCTTATACTCTACGCCTCACGTTTAGGTTTACATGCAGAGTCAGACTGCTCTGATTAATTGTACAGCTAAAAGTTACAGCGTCCTCGTCATCCCCATCATCTACAACCTAACAAAGGCTTCCCCTTAGAGCACCACAATGAACTAAATCACCATTAGCATTCGCCGGTTGCCCACGACTCTTACTATGTTGTCGATTGGTCGGTAGTGGTAGGAGAGGCTTCCGAAAAAATTTAATCTTCCCGACGCCTGCCTAACGTGGGTAGTATAGCAGCCCCGTGTTCGTCGAACACAATTTCCACGCGTTTACTGACATAATTTGATAAAATCTGTTGAGTTGTATTATAGTGTATTATTGTTGTATCCGTTAATTATCCGCGTTATATTTCGTGTCTGTCGCGTCGCGTCGAAATGGTATCTTATCTGCTTTTCCGGTCCATCGAAAATCGTACGTAACGCGACACGAGTTGTATTGATCCGAAAATAACTTGATCGTCTACGCAACGGTCAATCACATAGCTCGATTGTTACGTAACAGCTTTAATTAAAATCCAGATACTTTATATATATAATATATAGAATTAAAAAAAAGTTTTTTACGCACTTTACCTCATCTGCTATGGCAATACCCTTTCAAATTCTTTGCGGAATTTATGACCACGTGACGAACTACTTCATAATAGAATCTCCCTAAGTAATATTAACATAGAAAAAACAAATCCGAGAATCTATTAATACACGTATCATCTAAACGTCTTTCGCTATCGGAACCCATCATTCGTCCGCAGGTGTACTGGGCGGGCCCAATTGCTGGTGGCATCGCCGCGGCACTGCTCTATGTCCACGGCTTCTCTGCGCCGCCGCCGGACAACAGTGCTTCACCTCGCTACAGGCCCGTGGCGGGTGACGAAAAGGAGGTAACCCAATGATGTTTAATAATATAGATGACGCATGTCCATACTGCGCGATTTACATTGTATGACATATACAAGTGAATGTGACAGATGATGTAGATCGTATGATACGGAAAGAGATAGCGGTCTATAGAATTGCAAACTAATAGCGCAAATTTTAGTAATACAGCCGGTTTCAATATTCTTTCTGTAGATTTCGTTACTAGTATTTGACATTAGCTCCATAATACTTATGTGCTTGCATAATGCTTAAATGCTCTAGTAACCAAATCTACAGATAGTTAAAATATTGAAACCGTTCATTAGTGTCTCAGTTTCGGTGCGCTAGTGTCATATCTATCTCGTATTTGTATATAATATCGCCTAAAGATGTACAAAACTCGACTAAATCTTGCCTATGTCATAATTGCAAAACTTTCTGTTTGTTTCTGTCCCTCTCACACAAAGACGGGGCAACCGATTTCGTTATAACATCTGCATTGAGTTAGGTTATGGGTCTAAAGGTGATAGACCTTAGTTTTTATTCGTCAACTGGTGGACAGCTGAGGCATTAATTCATTTATTTTATTTTACAAGCGTACTGGACGTCCAGCACCGATAGCTTGGACTGTTGAACATAGCGTAAGCTTTTGTTAACTTTTTTTAATCTGTGTTTTAGATATTTGCATTACTTCACATAATCAACGAATACGTTTTAAAGCAATGATATTTTATACTCTAGATATGTTATACGTATACAAAATCACCGGTCTAAAGTGTTCTTATTTCCAAAGAGAGTGACACTCACACCTTTGGTTCGAATGGAATAAAAAGAATACCGTAATTAAAGCAATAAGAAAAAAGATGACAGCAAGTGTTTGTCATAAGTGTAAAAAAAACTTCTGGTGCCTCTGTCATTCTCGTCCCCGTATTAAACTTATTTGGCTATGCCTTTCTTTGTCCTTTGTCCCAATTAGGACGTTTTCGTGGTTTCACTCCGGGCGCATTAACAGCATTATATTTTGTGGTATAAAATATAATTGTTTTAAAGGTTTTACGTTGCGAAATTTTTCACATAAAGATCTTCTATAGATGTATTAAATTCACTTAGTTTTATAATTAAAGGGAAAATGCACATCGGATAAATTGCTCGATTCGCCGAATGTGGGGCAATTTATATGATTGATAATAAAATCCTTGGAACTTACATAAGTTCCTAGAACGTTATCGTTTACATTAAATAAATATTTTTCTTAAATCTTATAGCATTTTATTGCTCTCATAAATTAGGTGTACCGTTTTGATAAAGTTGTAATGTAGCCCGAAACACGTGAAATAATAATCGATAATCCCCGTAGGTAATTACGTGTTCCTAAAGATATCGTTGTTTGTCATAGTAAAAAGGAACTTTAAGCCAATGTCGTGAAAATTGTTGTTGAATAGTAAAAATGCAGTGGGTTGGTTGGTCATCCAGACTGATTATTCCGGTCGCGGTCTGCAAATTCATGGGTTCGAATCCCTTTGGTTTTGCTACTATTGTACTCTATACCGTCTTATTTTGGTAACCGTGAAATAATTTTATATAAAGTTTAATTCTGTTCACTGAACGCATTTGTTATTTTTGAAGTTATACTTCTTAAGGCGCTTTTGGAAAAAAAATTAGAGTAAAATTTTTTGATTTTATGAAGCGCGCGTTCCCCGACCCCCAAAAATTGACATGATGAATTTGTTTGCAAAGCAACCAACTTCACGATATTACCTTGGCCACCAATAACAACTTTTTGACATTTACTTAACTATAATTCCAAGTTATAACCGTTAAAAATTTCATATAATGTCTTTTCCAAAAAAAAGATTACTGGCACAGAGGATTAAATTTTTAGTTATTTTTCTTTTGTTACGCTAAAGAAGTATAACTTCTTACGTGCTCACATAAGTACACACATACTTTTTAATTATTAACTTTAACACTTTTGTAGCTCAAGAGGTTGGACGGCAAAGGAGAGGACTTGGCCTGAAAGCGGAAAAAGTTTGGATCGACGCTGCGCGAAACTCCATGCGGAATCTCCGTGCCCAGCGACGTTCGGCCGTTGAGACCACTGGCTGGTCGCCACAGACTATATTAAAACTCAGTTCGCACCACACTATTCGTAATATTGTTATTCTTATAAATAAGCACTTGAATGTAAACCTTTTTACACACTGGCTATTGCAATAACTACTTAATACCTGTATATTAAATACTTGTATGATTTGATCGTCGAGTGCACATAATCTGGTGGAGTTGTGATACCTTTCTTTTCGCCTTAAATTTTTTTTGCAATATTTTACGCAGTGAATTAATTATTGATGCCAAAATTACACAACTGTTTATTTTTAAAACTAAGAAATATAGTGCTAATCCAAAAATCTCAAAAGAAAAACAATCCTTTTTCAAAATGAAAGGAATTGTGATAGTTTCATTAATTTATGTAAATAAAACGTACTGCCAAATATTCATCTCATTAATAATATAATTAAAATGAACTGCCCTTATTTGAATAAATGTCGCTGACAGATAAGTGTTATTTAACCTTAATTCACCGCAAAGCTCGTACATTTTCACGTTTATAAAAAGAATTACGGCGTAGGCGTAAATAATTCTTATATTTTTTACAATTTATTGAGAGTATTGAATAAAAATTTATTCAGTGTATTAAGTGTAGACCAGATGTTTTTATCTATTTACACATTTTAACTTTCTATCTTGAGCTTTACAATCTTATGATATTTGCTATGTAAATAAAAATAAGTTTTATTATAATTATGTTGTTATGAGAATAAAAAATATAATACATGAATAGACATATTTTAAAATATTTCTTAGAAAGTGTGTTCCAATGTATTCTTTTAATTAATTTATTACTATAAAGAAACGACTGCTGTCACTTGGCTGGCAACCAACAAAATGTATTTAGACCTTTGAATGTCAGCAGTCGATGCACTTTTAATGTGCCACTACATTTTGACTGCTGACAAAACATAAACGTGTCAGCAATTAATGTATGAGCAGTCGTATAAAATAAGTTAAAATGTAAAGGAATAAAATTAAATAAACCTATTTATCTGTAATCGCCTTTTTTTGTTTCATCCTAACCTAGGGTATCGCTGTGTGAATACTGTCTTATTGTATTGACTAATGTAATAGTTTTCAAGACCGGTAGTCCCAACAAAAACCATACTTTGTGAGACCTTGAGAATAAAATCTCAGATACAATGCAAGATCAAAATCTTTTGTTAATACGTTAATAGTGTAGGACGACCGGTGGGTATCTGGTGAGGAGCAAATGGAGTGACGACCTGCGTAAATGTGCAGTCGATGGATGAAGGTGGCCCAGGATCTGCGCCACTGAGTCATCTTTACTCTTCTTTTTAACATATTAACCGTTATACAGGGTGGGTTTTCTAAGTGTATCCATTTTTTTTATTAAATTCTAGACATAAATAATGTTATATAAAAAAATGATAAATATTTAAAATCCCTCGTAAGTAATTAATTACATTCATTTGAACTTATCTCAAAAAGTGCGTGATTTATACGCAACTCATTTATTTTACGCGCGATCATTCATTACTAACACGCACACAAGTTCGTGCACAGTAAGATTTAGGTATTTATGAATGACTACCGCATTGTCAACACGTTGTGTTTTAGGGAAGAAAATGGCATTTTTTTTGAAAAAAAAATCTTTTAATTCAATAAACGATTATACTACTGAGTCTGAACCTCCTGTGTAAATTTAGGCACTTTCAAAAAATCTCCCTGTATTACTTCTCTGCTCTAATATACTTGTCAAGGCCAAATACGGGCTGTACTTTTAGCGATATAGGATATTGGGATTTTGGATTAGTTGCCTTTTATATTCTCATAAATGATAAACGTTGAATAATAAAAGGTCGTATACCGTAACATAGTATCGACCTTCGATTTGTACTGACTAATGTATGAAACCTCATCAGACAAACTTGATTGAAAATATGATTTTTCCAGAAAAAACCCTACCTACCGTTCACATGATAATTGTGTAAACGGGCAAAATCAATAATGAAAATTATTTATTCAGTTGTGTTAATCATACTAAATAGTAGAAATACAAGAAGCACATAGAACACATTTCAACATTTCATTAATAATTCCATTTTTTTGTATTTGTTACGTGAAATTGTATTGTAGGCTAGTGAGTGAGCCCGGGCCCACTTTATTGTAAACGCGTGGTGGCAACGCATCTGGAATCCCGCGGGTGTTGCAAATGTCTATGGGCGGCGGTGTTCACTCAACATTAGGAGAACCGCCAGCTCCTTTGCTAACTTCTGATATAAAAAATAAATAAATAAGAATAATGATGAAACAAGATTAATACATATTTTAAGATAAATTCTCTTCAGAGGTCTTACATAATACAATTTAATTTAATATTTAGATTGTTTAGTAATCCATACAAACCCTTATTATAACTATGGGTAACCATGACAACCCGCGGGTGTTCTCATGTTATCCGCCGCTGTTGTCAAATCAGTCATTGTTCAAGTAATAGATTCGTATCGAAAACACTTGAATTTATATAAAAAGTATATTGATGTACTAATTATGAACCATTCTTTCATTTTCACACAGTTTTGGGTCAAAATAGACACACATTTCTTTGTATTTGACATATCAACAGGCAGCCATTATTCATCGCAAACAATGACTTTTTCGGAGGCAAAATATTACAACAACTTTTGAATGCTAAAACTACTTAACTATAAAAAAATATTGTAGCATTCTTCACTATCATTTATATGTATAAGAGTATATAAATATCTACTTAAGACATTTTATTATGGCGTTCTGCTTGAAAGTTGTGGCCAGTTAATTTATTTCGTTGAATAATTTCCTAAAGAACGTCTCTATGAAGCTATTTTATAAACAAAATGCACTAGTTGATGATATACGGATTTTGTTTACACTATCTCGCGTAGGTACCATGGTTCCCTAGTGGCCGTTTACCTAATATTATTTTATTGGTACTATAGTACCCGATGGCTTGCTCGGTGCCGCGATACTTCTTTTATTTTGTTTGCGCATTTGAATTATTTCGAATGAGTTGTCTTAAAAACAGAATAAATGAAAACAAATATAAACGTTTTCAAATAAAAATTATGGCTAATTATTTCAATGTTATTCATTAACATAATAATTAATACGAATTTATTTTATAATAAGAAGACAATTTAATGCGTACTTCTCCTTTTTTGTCAGCTGATTTTCCTTCTTTTGTTCAGGTTATGATGAGCTTTAGTGCCATTAGTAAAAAAAATCAGTTTTCCCTACTTTATCATCATCAAGACCGGGGCAAGGCAAAAAGCTCGGGGCAGGACAGGATATGTGCTTGTATCAAGCGCCATTCGCGTAATCAGTGCTTCCAAATTAGGTCTTTAGCCCCAAATTTCCGCCGGAAATATAAATAATGGGCTTTTTTTAAGGTCCAAAAATATTGAGGGTCATTTTTAGAGGCATGAATAATATTTCGTGCATAACTTTTTTGACTGTCCAAAATGAAATTTTATTTTCTTTATAGCGCTAATCTCTGCACTTAACATTGAACATTAAAATTAATAATTTTAGCTTAGATATTGGAAGTACCCCTAGATCAACCATCCCTTCCTACACAAAAAGATATTTCTGCCGATCCTGCAGCTGAGGAACCAATGAGCACTGATTTTCGGCCTCAGCTTTGGACTACTGCACACTTATTTAAAGAAAAGACCCCTGAGAGTCATATACAGCCAGCAAAAACATCGTTTTCCGTGACTCCAGAAAATGTCATAGCCATACCTAAGGAAGTAATAACCCAAGAGAGAAAAATCAGAAAACGTGATAAAACAATACATAAATGTAATGCAATACTTACAGCTTCTCCATACAAGAATTATCTTATTAGAGATATAAATAAAAAACAAAAAATAAATAAAACCACTGACAAAAAGAAAACTGACGGGGGACTAACTTGTGGTGGTAGAGCCACGCAGCAACCTCGGCTGTTGCACGAATGGGCAGGCACGTCCGGGTAAGTACCACGACCTCACAGAAGACCGGCGTCAAGTGGAAATATTACTTTCGGGTTTCATCTGGTGAGTGAGATAGCCGGAGCCAATTTCCAAAAAAGTTCTCAACGCATCTGCAAACCCTCGAGTGTAGTTAGCAGACGTCCATGGGCGGCGGTATTCACCTAACATCAGGTGAAACGTCCTTGAACCGTGTCCATAAAAATAATGAAAAAAGAAGACCGGCAAAAAGAATAAAAACAAAAGACGCAAACAAGAAAGTGACGCGGATACTAGTTCATCAGAAGATGAAAGTGATTGTCCCAGTGGCGGACTAAGGCCTTCAGAGGCCCGGGGCGGTAAAGCTGAATGAGGCCCCTAGTTTAAGTTGGACCTAAATAAATATACACAAAATACAGAGATGGATGAGGAAAATAAACTACAAATCGATCTGCAAAAAACTAAATAGTAAAAATAAAGTAATAGATACTTATTATTTCCAGTAAGTTTCTGGAACTAATATATAGACATTATAAAGATAAGCAGCAGTGGCGTAAATTGCCTTAGACGGGCACTGGAAGATTTTTCACCAAAAAAACAAAAATCTCGTTTGGAATTAATATACACTTTTCTCCCCTTTTTTTCCATTCCATTATGATACATTTTCGACAGACAGAAACCTAATTGACTATTAAGTCAGAATGACTGAGGTCAGAAATTGAGCTTTTTTAATTTATAAAATAATATTTTTCTCTAATTGTAATAACAAACCAAATTAACAATTTCATTTTGAGTCATCGGCATAAAATAATTTGTTTCACCATTTCGCTTACTTTTAATTAAATTTTCGCTTTAAAAATATAGTAAACGTAAAATGGACATGACTGTTCCAGATAAAGAATAATGACCTGTTAAAGTTAGATTACATGCTGCTAAAGTTATTTTAACATTACATCTCACCAGAAAGATTTGATTTCGTGCAATCACTGTGCAAACATGGCCAAAACCCGTGTATGACTTTATTGTTAATGTAGGAGAATGAGTCCCTAAATGATATTGTATAAGTTATTATTTTTTTTCCCTGACGACAGGCTTAGGAATTTAAGTGATTGTGGAATTTTTGCTTTCATCCGTTCGGGGCCTACAGAGGCTCGGGGGAGACGTATCATACGGCTGACACAGCCTTAGCTACACCTCGATTAGCAATACTACCAATTCCGGCTGTATTTTATCTGAAACGATGATTTTATCTGAGAAATAATATTTGTATGGGAAACTCCAACAATACAAAGCATATTTTTAAAGCCTTGTTTAGGATTTGTTCAAGGGAACATGAAGTCGTTCGGGGGCTCCCCAGGCCCGGGGGCCCGGGGCGGTCCGCCCCTTCCACCCCCCGGTTAGTCCGCCACTGGATTGTCCTTGCCCACATTGTGGGTACTTATATTCAGTCCACTGAAGGATGGGTTATTTGTAGCGTGTGCCACGGCTGGTCCGATAACTCCCGCGCAGGTGTAGATGATGACGATGAATAGGCACATATATGTATGTAAACGTTGGCAACCAGATTAAAATTTGTACACATAATGCCCCATTGAGTTTCCCATTTTGCCCCGATCATGGGGTAAGACGGGATATTTGACGTGTCATTTAGTTTCATTTGTTTCATTTTTATTTGCCAAAAAACATGTGATTTAGCGCCATAAAAGATTAAAATTACGTTAATTAAAACTCGTAAGCGGTGCTTTTATTGTAAGAGATTTTTAATAAATAGTTTGATTTTCATATTAAGAATAATGTTTTTTCTCTAAGAATCCCATCTTACCCTGGACTCCCTTACTGAATAAATGATGATACAGTGTATGTTCTCAGATATACAAGAAGCCAATAAGTAAGAGTACAACACTAATAAAATTAATTATAAAAGAGACAAATATATCTAATACAATTACTATTCATTATTTTTAAATATAACATACATTTAGCCTGACAACATGTTTTCCTAATATTAAGGACTGGTTTCTTTTAAAACATATTATGTAATTATAAACCACCATATTCACAACTGCCACTTATATAATTACAAAACACAATGGTAAATATACTAATTATACAACGCGTGGTATGTCAGCTGTTCATATACAGCGTTTAATTAACATTTACAACGCGAACATGAGCAACACTCATATTCTATCGCTATATATCGAGTGTTTGTCCCTCTCTTCTAGCTCCTCTCACGTTACTTTACTCGTTATTCTCCATTATGTAACGCGGTATGCCTAAATATGCATACAAAATAAAAAGATGTGAATTTATGAATAATAAAAAGTCCTATCAAAATAACTTAGGTTTATAAAATAGACTTAAATCATTAACAACTTGAAATATCTTACTTATACTCCATCCGTTAGATACGGAAAGTTGTTTGATGACGTGTTTTTAAAATTTTAGTACAACACGGTTAAGTTTTAAGTCCAAAATCAAACATTACAAAAATTAGTATGACAATTGCGATGAACTAAGTGCGCAGTACGAAAGTAGAGATAAAAGGATTAGTTTCAAAATTTCCATTTTCAAATCAGCATTTGGAACACAAACAGATCTTTTCTTTTCTAATGAAAAACCTAAACAAATGGAGGACATAGAGTTTTAAATATTTTTTTAATTATATTAAAACGGTAATACCTTAATAATTAAGAGTTGAAATATTTTTTTTTATAACTAAGTTTGAAAAAAGTCTTAAATCCAATAATTTATTGAATTTTATCAACTTATATAGCATAGCTCTCATTTGAACAGTCGCTCTGATTATCGCACCGGGGTGTATATAGGGAAGATGAGGTCATTTCCTGGATGAGCTCAGGATCAATATATACGGAATCCACCAAATTCCACCATAAAAGACCACCATGACGGGTTTAAGCGCGTTAAATTCTATAACCACGTGTTCTCCAGCATGAGACAGGATATCAGATCGATTCCTCGATTGGACCGATGAAATATGTCTAAGCACAATACTATTCCCTACCTCAGCAAACACTAAATTAAAACAAGACTATTGCACTATGCACTTTGAAAAAAACATATAAGCACTGAATTCACTTTATATCATTTATAGTTAATTTTAAAACTATACAAATAATATAATTCTATATATCAATAGATTCCAACAGATTCAAAGGTGATACGTGTTTTGGTAGGTTGACAATTACACTTACACCCAGTTTCCGAAAGCGCAATCAATTTTAATTTACGATAAATCTCTTGTCAATCGTTTTTTAACATGATCTGAGTTGCTAGAACGTCTTAAACAACATTGATTTTGATTTGCAATTAGTCACTGATTAACGAACAATCAACAGAAAATCGAGTTTCTGAAAGCGTTTTTCGGTGGTCAACGAGCTGTCAAAAGTTTTATTAAGTAATCTGTCAATTTGGACTATCAATCGTTGGTTAAAAATGTTATTTATCAAAAATCTTAGTTTTTATTAAAAATAAACATAATTCCCTAATACGTTGTTAGGACATTCATGTGTTCTATTACCTATTTATTATTTATTATTATGCGAACATATCATGTGATTAGAAAAAATACAAAATGCAATTCAAAAGTTAATAAATAATATGGATTCTTTCTTTTTATAATACTTACTTGTTTATTATGGATAAAAGTTAATTTTTTTCACGTTCTATAAAGTTTTTTTTTGACATTTTGCATGTATTTATATAAATAAAATTTTATTATAGCTCGGATTTTTACGTTGGCAATCACACGGTGACAGGACTGGATAGTGACGTTAATTTAAGTTTTGTTTAAAAAGGGACAGCTATACAATAGAAAGAGTTAGTTGAAGTAAATCATTCATTTCATTCATTATCATTGGTTATACAGTGATTAGCTAATTTTTCTTGAACAAACCTTCCAGAAACCCAAGGCAGTTTAACAAGAGATTAACAGCTGATCATTTTTACATTGTGTTATGTGATTAATGCTTTGATTGGCCTTTCGGAAACTGGGCATTACTTTGGTAAAAGTAATTACATCTAAATAATTTATATTTACAGTCATTAAGAATTATATAATATAATTATAAAGCAACAGTCTTATATGAACTTGAAGCACTTCTGTTTATCGTGAGGTATTCGCGTCTTGAATAGAATAGAATCCGCTCTAAACTGTGTCGATAATAAGGGCGTATAACCCATAACCTGGAAAGACATTATTAAAATTAAATCATAACATTAAAATATATTATAGTTACAATAAAACTATCACTATAAAAACTACGCATTTGGCCAAGTTTAGAGTTGACTGGTCTTCTAATCATTTAACAAACATTGGTTTGTTACTCGTACATAAATATCACATCGTCCATTAGTAAAAGACAACCCAAGACGCTACCCATGTGAAGTTTGTCAATCATTGTAAAAATGTGCGATAGAGATAACGCTTTAAGAAGCCGAAATTAGCCGATCGTCTCTTTCCGAAGGTACTTGAGTACAGACGTTAGTGACTTCAGCATGGGAGCAGTGCCGGATTTAGGGGAGGGCAACCGGGGCAACAGCCCCGGGGCCTCAATAAACAAGGGGCCCCCACAATAGAGATTCTGTAAAAAAATCAAATTCAGACAAGTAAACAATATAGCAAACAACTTTTCCTTTCATATTTTTTGTCGCGTTTTACTTTTACCTACAGTAATTTGTACAAACATCATTACATTAAATATTAACAGAAATCAATAGAAAATAATTTGGGGACAAGGGGCCTCCACTCCTTTGTTGCCCTGAGATCTCCAGGCCTCTAAATCTGGCCCTGTATGAGAGGCATTTTACCTATCAGTTATAAAGTTCACTATATATATTCAGGTGATAGTTCAACGAGATAAAATATAACAACTAACTCGTTAGTTTCAAAACCTAACAATCTTATCAGCTCATATACTAATTTGGCAATTGTAATTTAGTGCGCAATATTATTGTCATTGGTTCTGTTGTGTTGTCAATGCATTTACATTATTCCAAATCGTTCAGATTGTTAGCTTTTTGTTTTCTGTTGAACCAATATAATCGAAAATTATTACAATTTTAGATACATATGTAAATACATAAAGACTTAAGAAAGTTTGCTGATGTAACCTGAATAATGGCTGTAATGAGCAAATAAAATGCAATATCTTACAAAGTACGTGTTAAATGAGGAAAAGGTCCTCAAAAAAAAGTATGTCAGAAAATGTGTTATATTCGGGTTAATAAGAAATTCAAAATTCAAAAACTTATTGATTCAATATAGAATCTTTACACTTATTTATTATCAAAACACGATCACCGAAGAGAACTATATACATATTAGATAAGAAGACAAATTCTGATTCTTACCATACAGTTTTTTTTGTTTTCTAGCAATTTGTTTTTTCGAATGTTTCTTTTGGTATTAAAAAAATTTTGGGCTCCAGTGAAATGTCACTATTTTGTGGGTGACTGCAGAATAAGTTACGTCGATAAGAATAATCTAATAAGAAACATACCAAAATAAAAAATAAGCGTTTAATTTGTTTGCTGCCGAGACACGAGATCACTTACCAACAGCTAATGTTATAAGTATAAAATTATAAATTGTAACGGTTATCCCTGACAAAAAAAAATTATAACTAAGAACCATCTTTACAAGCTCACGCGATGATCATTATGAAGAACCATCTCGATCACGTTAAAAAAACCGCGCCGTATTCGGTCCATTCATTTAGAAGCTACGATGCCACAGATAGACACAAGACACATAAAGATGAAGCATGTCCATACCGCGCGGATTTTAAAAATTGTTCCCCTTTTCATCATTATATGACATATGTACCTAAGTGAATGTGACAGATGTTAAAGAACGTATGATACGGAAAAAGATAGCAGACTAATCAATTACAAGAAATGCTATTATTTGAGTACCTCAGTTTCGCGCGATAGTGTTATGACACTATCTACATTGTACTTGTATATAATATCATTGCATACACACTGGTACACATACACGTCACGTCAAACACGTCATAATTATACCACTCTCCTGTACGTCGGAGGCTAGAAATAAATGTTGGAGAATAGAATAAAATGTAGTGATAGGGCATAAAAATATGTTGAACCTACTTACTTGTGAAAAGAACTGAATGCATTTATGGCGCTCGTGGAAGTGCGTTTCGTCCGCCGACAGCGTGACCGGACATCCGGGACAACGGAACGTCCACCGCGATGTCACCTGTAAATGTAAAACATTCAACTGCAAATAAATATTGTAAATTTCACATGTGCTCATTCGTGCGTTTTTTTTTTGTAAATAGAACATATTCAACTGCAAATAAAAATTGTAAATTTCACATGTGCGTGCGTTTTCAAACGCGGAGAATGTAACCTACGCGCTATAGTCATATGATCGTACTACGGAAAGAAGTACATTTTTTTAACAAAAAACATACCGACTTCAAATATCTCACACTCTACACCTACTTGATACGAGATCCGATAATAATGAAATTAATATTGGACCACATAGGAGCCAAACCGAACCCAAAGCAAATAGAATTTTGATAATCTGTTCATAAAAGATGAAGTTCTGACGTAAGAAACAAAAAAGCCGGCCAAGTGCTAGTCGGACTCGCGCATGAATGTTTCCGTACCATTATCTATACAAACGACAAAAACTATGTCTGTTGTATGGGAGCCTCGCTTCAATATTTTTATTCTGTTTTTTAGTATTTGTTGTTATAGCGGCAACAGAAATACATCATCAATGAAAATGAAAATTTTAACTGACAGACACACAGACAGCGCACGGGCCTTAAAAACCATCGCGCGATCATCAAAAAAGAAAGAGGCGAAACATCGACACGAACCTCCATGGCCTGGACAATCAACGAAAGAGAAAGCGACAGGAGATCGCGCGAGCATAAAAAGAGAAAGAGACAGGAACATCGAGGGGACTGCTCGCACCTTGACGGGGGGCTTCCTGGTGATGTGCGCGACGAGGAAGTTCATCGCGATGTCCTCGCAGTTCATGTACTCGTCGACGTAGTCGCGGACGGCGGCCGGCAGAGCGCGCCAGTACGCCCACAGGTAGTAGCGGTGCACGAACGCCGCGCCGGTCAGCACCATGCTCAGCTCGCAGCTGAAACCGACATCAAAGCTGAGAGCAAAGCTATCGTGCATAACACAACTCATAAGATCAGGCAACTGCGCAAACCGGCAACAATTATGCCCATATGTTCCTTGAAAGAAATTGCTTTAAGTAATAAGGCCGCCAGTTGTACAACTCATGCTTTATTGTTATTTTTAATGTATATTTTTACTATGGTGTGTGCAATAAAGAATATTCAATCAATCAATCAATAATCGTAGAGTAAAGTTACTGTGCAGACTTGCGGAGCAGGAAGAATTTCGCACGTTAAACTGTAATCGTCTGTCTTTGTTACTCAAACGCAGAAAAATCGACGTCACGCTCGCACAGATGCAATGACCGCCGTATTAAGAGAGCGTGACGGCAACATATTTGCGAGCAATAGAGGTTATAATAGTAATATCAGTTGCGAAGATCCTAATTATTTTCTTTAAGGTTTCGCCTTTCACCGGCATGTCAGTGTTTCGCGAGGACCAGAAGAAGACGTTGATAAATAACCATCATACAAAACCAAAAAAATACTCATCAGCATTAGGTACCAAGATGTATGGAGGTTGTTTAATAAACACTTTGATGACATTTCACCTGTAGTTTGAGTTGTAGAGGAAGCCGTTGTTAAAGTTGAGATCCCACGCGTGGTACCGTCCCGGAAAACCGACGATCCGGTCGCGGTGTTCCCGCCACACCCTGTAGAACGAAGGAAACAACTGCGTTAGCGATAAATGTCACAACTGAGTTATAGGAAAACTGAGACGATGATTAAAGAGCTATATTTATTTCATTAGTAATTAAAATATTATCGTGGTTATGATGATTTACAAAACTGACACCAAGAAAGTGCCCGCTGTGTTCAAAAGAAGTTCGAAACTTCAGACACGTTGGATCAATAGCTGGGGTGATAAACTTTATATTTAAAGTTAAGTTTAAGATAAACGGCAACAGTCTTACCACCTCAGAGGTTTAAGTCCAAAATAAATGGAAGGTACATTACTATCAATTTTCTTTTATTTTTTTCATTTTACACTTATTTTTTTCAGATGTCTCTGTGGGTGACGTAGTTGCTAAGAAATTGGCTACGCCACCACGGGTCTTGGGTTCCATTCCCACAAGAGGCAATTGTCTGTGTAACGCACAGATAATTCCACCACATCTGGGTGTTTGCTACCAAGGAGGGTTAGCGACAGGCAAGCCGTAAAGTTCCTAGCCAATACTACTAAAACATCATTCACGTCACTCGTCGTCTCGACCCTGGCTAGGTGGGATAGCGACAGGGAATGATGCTTAAAGCTTTCCGCCACTTAAAGAAGCATCATCATCCCCTGCCTAGGGGATCTTAAAAGAGGGGATGTTATATCACGGGGGGGGGGGGGGGGTCTTATAGCGCCTATTAAACTCCGCCGAAGCGGTTCGGCCGTACCTGAACGCGAAAACGATCTCGTCGTGCCTGAGGTGGGCGTCGTCGTCCACGCACAGTACCGCCTCCGTATCGACCAGGTGGTAGGGCAGGAAGCGGTTGTTGAGCGAGTTGCGGGCGGCGCGCACAAAGGCCACCGGCGCGCCGCAGTCGGGCCACGCCTGCCCCGGCGTTGGCGGCGTCACACCGTTCCACACCACCACCACCTGCCGGGGTCGAACTCTGAGCCTCTATGGACAGCGCAGTTAATGCGCCTCTGAGCTCAGCGCAGTTAATGTGCCTCTGAGCTCAGCGCAGTTAATGCGCCTCTGAGCTCAGCTCAGTTAATGTGCCTCCGAGCTCAGCGCACTGCATTTGCGTAGTTGACGGGCTACACGCGTAATACACATACTAAAAACTTTTACCTGTTAGGTATCGAACCATCGACCAGGGCACCGAAGCTTAGGTTAGTATTAGCGCTAAACAAGCTGCAGTAATAGTATTGTGGCTTCAACTGTAAACCAAGAAAGCTAAAGGCGCCGGAGGGTGTGGGTTCGATCACCATTTCTGGAATGTTATTGTGTGACGGACTTTTCCAGTGTCTGAGTGTTCATATGTCTTAAAATGTAGGACTTTATTTACCATAGACAATTACATTTAGTTCGGTTTACCTGTTACCCAGCACCCATTTGTTTTTGTTCCGCTTAGTTTAGAACTAGGTAATGTTTTGTAAAAATATTCACGAATTATTTATAGCTTGATTAGTCTGTGAAACTTGTATAAGCTTTTGTATAATCTTCGGATGATAATTTTTAGAAACTCATACCTAACGCGTTTAGAACTGCACGCGATCGCAAGAATTTTTCTGCTCTCCAATCTCTGCAACATATCTCGCGAGGAGAAATCTTACTGAGTAAATAATTTATATCAACATAATGAGATGACATGTATCATGAATTGTATCATCGATATATGTGATTATATCGATGATACAATGTTGATGATTTTGACGATTTAATGAACAAAAAGTTCATTTTCTGAAAATATTATTATGTTGATATGGTTGTAAAGTGCTGTAATTAAATAAGAAGAAAAAAAACGCGTAACTTTGTTATGGTAAACTATATAATTATAGGGACGATTGGTGCGAACCTTATTTAGATAAGGCAATCCGCGGAGGCGGGCGAGGGCGGCGGCCAGCACCGTCTCCCGTTCGTATGTGAGTATCACAATGGTGAATTGCTCCCTTGGCCGGTCCCCGCCCAGGGCCTCGCTGAACTCCCTGCCGGAGCCGCCGGCGCCGGCCGCTATCGGCCTGAAGCCGGCCGCCGAGCCCAGGAACCGGGCCTCCGAGGTCACCGGCGGGTCCCACGGCAGCTGCGGGTAGAGGGCGAACGGCTCGCCCCACTCGTTCCACATCTCGTAGCCGTGCAACATCGCGAGCGAATAGTTGCGCCTATACGCCGGGCTCGGGTAGGGCGCCTCCAGCGGGCCGAGTGTCTCCTCGGGTTCCGCGTCCACCGCCGGCGGCTCGACCCTCGGCGGCGAGTAGGAGTCGTTGAAGGCGGGCGCGCCGAAAGTGGGCGCGGCGGGGCGCGCCGGTATCTGCAGGCGGGTGCGTATCACGGCCAGCAGCGAGTCCACGCTGACCTGGACCGAGCTCAAGTACCTCTCCCACAGCACCCTCCCCTGTCTGCGGAACGCCAGCAGGTCGGAGTCGGACAGCGCGCGCAGCAAGAAGTGCAGCTCGGTGACGCGGGCCTTCGGCAGGGAGAGCACCGCGCGCCGCCAGTCCAGCACCTCGCCGTACGGCAGCCGGGTCCTGTCCCCGCCGAGGAGCACCGGTATGGCCCCGGAGCGGAGTGCCTCGTACAGCCTCGCTTGTAGCAGGGCCGTGGTGGTGTAGCCGCCGTCGCCGGGTGCCAGTATCAAAGCGAAAGTCGACTCTCTGAGCACCGATCGTCGGGACCTGTCCGTGCCGCATAGCGCCCAATCGCCGATGGAAAGTATCGCGCGCCTCTCGACTGGCGGGTCGCATTCGAACTGCAACAAGAACACGTCCGATGCCGGCCCAGCGCTAGCCATTTTCTGTAGGGAATCGATCACGGACGTGTCGTTGTCCCTGGTGGCGGAAGTTGTGGGCGATTGCGAACCCTGAAAACTAAACGACGCTTATGAATGTACACAAAAACTCCTATTAGCATTTTGAAAACGAACCGTTCTCGTACCTGAGAAGGTACTTCCTCCTGGCAGGCGAAATGGGTGCGCAGTCGGCCCACACGTCCCCTCCCGGTGGACCGAGCGCCGGAGGGGTCACCAAGTCAAATTCTGGACGGAACTGATGTAACTTGAATGTGGACTGAGCGATCATGGCCCTACCAGTGGAAGCCCCGAAGAATGCGTCACCCGAACCAACCGACAACTCCCTTCTTGCTAAGTTCAGCAATACGTGGTTGCGGCCATCCCCTCCCCAAAACGGTAGGTTTTTGATTGCGGTCTCATTCAACATAGATTTATAGGGTACCGATGATGGTCTGAAATGAATGATAATGTTTTAAGTGTCCAAATGTCCCCCACAATTCTTGTTGTAAAACAAATGTTAATTTAAAAAGAGCTTACGAGATTGCCTTTTCAAACGGGAACGACTCCCCAATCAAAACAACATACAGACAAGCTTCGTTTGGGTTTTGGGTGAGATGGGAATTGTAGCCCAGTGTTTGACGCAGCGTTGTTTTAAGGAAACCGTCCACTTCAGCACCGGCCAAAGGGGAATGAACATCCGGATCATAGAAATAAATGGGGAAGCCCGAAGTCAGTGAGCAGCGGGAATGATCAAAGCACGAATACATTCGACAATGGATTTCGGCAGAGGAGTTGATCGGCGGAAGAGTCGTGGGTGGCTGCGAAGGCAGTATTTGAGCAGGCGACGCGAGCTCAGGGGTGTCTCGACGAATGGCTTCCAATTGAGCAAGACGCGCTTGGTCGGCGGAGACCCGAAGGCGTTGCAGTTCTGCCGTAGCCCTAGCATATTCGGCTTTGACGCTGTCAGCTTTAGCACTAGCCGCGGCGGCTTCACGCTGCAATCGACCGCGCTTTTCTTCTAATTCTCGAAGTTCTGTAGAAACTGACGCCTGGTTGGACAAGTTAAGAGAAATAATTGTATGTTATTTATATTGACTTCTACACACTTTTCTACAGTAAGTAGGTACTATAAGGAATATTCTGTACTACTCTGTGAAATATATCACAACAATGAAGATAAACTAATTTTGCTAAGATCTACTACATTAAGATAATAAGTGACTATTACAAACTTCTTAACATCACATGCAAAAATGCAAATGAAAATAACAGTATGTTCGAAAGAAATTACTGAAGTTTGACCTTGAATATGAAAATTTTACTATATCCTTTAGGGTGCAACATTCATTTTCAAAAATGCAAAATCTACCATGTTTTTCTTTAATATACAGTACCTGGAGGACCGAGCTTGAAGTTTTTAGGCTTTGGTGAAGTGTTTATATTGTGTTCATGGGTTTCAGAAAATAGTTTTGTTATGCCAATATAACATAAACCAATACAGGAGCCATTTAAAGAATATCTTATGGCCTCAATTACCATATATTATTAGTAACATGAACTTTCTAATTTTATCAATTATGTCCTTACTCCCTCTGCACAGAGGAGGGTTTTTGGCCTAGCAGCGTAAGTTGTATAGTCTTGTTACCTGACTTTTTGGATCTACTTCACACACTCTTACCTTAATTCTAAGCATTTCTTCTATTCTCAGCTTGAGATCTGCTACATTCATTGTTGAAATATCTCCAAGAGCTTCCAAAGTGTGTTGTATGGAATTACTTCGCCTCGAAACAGACGCTGTTTCATACTTGAAAGTAATTTTAAATAAAAGTTTATTTTAATAGCTTTAAGACACAATCAAAGTTATGATTTTAGAAATTATTTTAACTGATAAAGAAACAGAACTGAAACAAAAATAAGTAAGTAAAATTTTGCACCAACATTTAGATTTCAAGAAAAAATTAAATAATTAAATCTTGCAATGCCAAGGACATCACCATTCTGGTGCATACCAAAATTCATGTTTTTTTCACAAACATTTTACTTTGTTGGAAATCACAGTGATACTCAAAAACATTATTTTAAAATTAGGTTCAACTTTTATTCATTTAAAACTGATAAGTTATGAGTTGTAATATATATATAATATATATATATAGCAACAAGCCCTGCAAAGCGGGCAACGTCACTAGTTGCAATATTCTTTTTTTTTTTTTTTCAAAACTATATGTCAGCACAAATTTTTACTTTATAATTATTGCTTTGGTTCTGTTCCTCTATCAGTTAAAATAATTTGTATATATACATATACAGAGTGTTGTTACCACCGCGACAATAAATGAACACACATATAGAGGATAACTTTTTAAAATTGTATTAAACATTTACATTCTTTAAACATCAATATTTACAGAGTTATTAAATTTTCCAAAACAAACAATTTTAGAACACCCTTACGTATGAAACTGTAACGTAAAGTTCATTAGTAAAGGTCACAAAGCATATGAATGGTTTGAATGCATTTAAAAGAGACAAAACATACTGTTAGAAGGAGAGGCTTGTAATGCGACGCTGTGGCGCGAGTTGTATAGGATGTTACAAATTTTGTTTCTTTTTTACTTAATTAGTTTGTTTGAAAAATATTTTTTTTAATTATGGATTTTGTTTAACGTTTATATTTTCTTATGATTATTGGCAAGTGGCATTAGACGTGTGTTCATTTATTGTCGCGATAGTAACAACACGCTGTATAACATTGATTGTTACATTGTATATAATTATCCATGGGACTTCTAGTGTAGTGTACTGTAGTGTGAGGCCACGAATGAGCAGGCTCTACGGCAAACTATCGCGACCTCACAGATGACCAGAGAAAGTGTTAGAAATTCCTGTTTCTTCTAGTGAAATAGTCTAGGCCAACTTTTTTTAAAGGTTGGTAACTCATCTGCAACCACTCAGGAGTTGTTGATGTCCATGGGCGGCGATAACCACTTAACATCAGGTTTTCCGTCTGCTAGCTTGCTAGCTTTTCATACAAATAAAATAGCTAGGTCATGAAATACAAATACATAAAACTATTATAAATTAATTTTATTCCCAAATATTTTAAGTTATATACAAATAATATTTTACCTTAGATAAATAATAATGGGTAAAAAGCGGCACGACAAAAAGGATAACAGAAACCATCACAATAACACGAGATAATTTTAAATGACCCATCCATTGACAGAATCGTTCGTAAATAATCATTGTGATAATATGATTTTAACTTCACTTAAATTATCTGCCAGCTTGTTTTAAACTTAAAAAAGGTATATTAGTCATTTTTTAAAATAATTTAAATAATCCAAAAATCAGTCGCTTAAACGTCAATCAAATAACCATAGCTTAAACGTAAAGTCGCTTAAACGTCAATCAAATAACCAACTAGCCAACCACAAATAGGTTGCAGTTGTCACTTGGCAGCTTTACCAACTCTCAAAAATATTAGTCCATAAAGCATAAAGTCAAAAACCCCTATTACCGCCCCAAAATAAAATAATATTAATAAAGAACTATAAATAATATAAAGCGCTAAGATTTTTGTATTAATTTCCAAATGAATGGAATAATACATAATACAGTGAAATATATTGCAGCGAAAATGTTGGTCTTATAAGTGTTTAAAGAAAAATTATAAGGAATTTAATTTTATAAAAAATTATTTCTCTCTTATGATTTTTTTAGAAAAGCAATATTTTTACCACTATTCCAAAAATGAGATTAATATTCTATGATAAAAAGTTTTAACTATTTTGACACTATCCTTATAATTTATCCAACGTTATCGCTACTGAACGCGTTTTGAAGGTATAAAAAGGAACCCTCAAAAGATCACTCTCTTGTCCGTCGTTCTGTCCGTGTCTAACTACCAATTTTCTCCAGAACAGGTGGACCAAGCAGTTTGAAATTTATACCAGATTCGTCATAGACCTCAGTCTACAGTCCCTACTAGATGTATAAAAAACCTGTCAAGTGCGAGAACCTGTCAAGTGCGAGTCAAACTCGAATGCCGAGGGTTCCGTACCTACCCATAATACCGCCATAATAAAATTGGTAAATAATCACCAACGGCAGGTGGACGTAGCAAGTTGACATTTATACACAGATACTGAGGTCCCCCTTAGGTGTATAAAAATCAAGGTACTGAGTCAACACGATAAAAAGATATGGACAAATTAATATTTTCGTGATAACTTGTAAGTACCAAATTTCGTGATTCTGGGTCAACGGGAACTACCATACAGATTGGTGTCAAAAGGCAAAGATATTGTGGAAATCCCAAAGTTAGACCTGTAATTAACCTACGCACTGACCGATTCAATTCGAGGCTACTAATAAGGCAACTGTACTATGACGTGCGTGCATATACGAATTCTACTTCGTATATGCACGCTCATTGCATTCCTTCGTGTGATTTCTGCAGGTACTACAGCTTCACAGTTTTGGGGTCATTCAAGGTTTTATAGAGCGAAAAAATATTCAGGAACCGATTTATTTTCCGGAGCAGCAATTATGCGTGTTTGCTCGCGAGCGTCGCATTACAATTAATACTTTTTTCTTTCTCTATGACGTATGGCGGCCGCAATTCAAATGGACCAATAGGCAGCAAGGCAGAGCAGACATCAAACCGATGAAGGGCAAATCTTCTGGGCATAATGGTCTCAGCATAGAACACCTACAACACGCAGGCAATTACTTATGGAGTCCTAGTTATGTTTTTTACGCTTAGCATCTGTCACACATACTTGCCTGGTGACTTGACCAGAATCGTGGTGGTCCTAATTATTAAAAACAAAACCGGGGATCCCTCTGATACATCTAACAATAGGCCAATGGCCTATAGTTCGATATATCAGAGGGCCTGTCGACGGAGAGTGCAATTCTATAACTTACGCACTCTGTCCAGTACTATACGGCTCGTAAGAGTTATAGGGCTCTTAAAGCATTGGTACAGCTGTCAGGTTAATACTGTTAGATGGGCTGGGGAGCACTCTGATGAGTATGGCCTGGAATGTGATGTGAGACAGGACGGAATAACGTCACCCTGTCTCTTTAATTTTTATGTAAATCAGCTGACTATTGAACACTCAAAAATGCGAGTGTTGGATGTTATGTCAACGGAGTCTGTTTTAATACCAATGCTGGTGATATGGTTCTGCTGTGCCCTACGATACGTGGATTCAGAAAGTTGATAACTATTTGTAGAGGTATGCGGAGAAGCATGGTCTTAAATACAATGCCAAAAAGAGTGAGGTTATGGTTTTTACGGCTGGTTCGAAAAGTCTCCGAAGTATGCCACCAGTAACACTGAACGGCGCTCCCCTTAAGGTGGTACATGAATTTAAATACCTTGATAGTGACCAGTTCTTAATAATCCAGTGGGGTTACTTCGAATATGAACGATGACTTAGACATTGAAAGGGAACGCAGGGCGCTGTCTGTTCGATTTAATATGGTAGCGTGCAAGTTCGCACGGTGTACGCGCGAAATAAAAATAACGCTCTTTCGAGCATTCTGCCAGTCATTCTACACGAGCAGCTTGCGGGCAGCCTTCACGCAGAGAGCATAGAGTGCGCTGCGTGTCCAGTATAATAATGGCCTACGAGCAATGTTAGGGTTACCACGGTTCTACAGTGCTTCAGCAATGTTTACGGAAGCAAAAATCAATGATTTTTTTTCGCTATAATGCGATATAGAAGCGCCTCGCTTTTAAGGTCCATGTTAACTAGTAAAAATACTCTCCTGATTGTTTTGGTAGCCAGACGGGATAGTAGTGCGTCGATTTAATCACTTACACTCTAACACTCGTCCGGCTGGCAGACATTAAATGACAATGCATAGGTTTCATAATATTATTTGATTTCTGATTACTAATACTAACACTGGATTTTAAATTTTCATTTTACTTACATATTTATGGATTGTAAAATGATCTGAAATAAAATCATGGACTTACAGTACAAGTACCAAAGGAAAACTTAAATTCAACTCCGCATTCTAATTCATGAAAAACCGTTCTAGATGTCGCAATGCTGCTGCCTCAACAAATAATGGGTAGATAGCGTTACTTCAGGCCTTTTATTTCATAATAAAAATAAAAACAAAAAAGACAACGTAGGAAAAATTATATCAAAAAATAAACCCAAAAATAAACGCCCCTAATTTTAGGGGGAAAACCCCTAGGTTAGCAGCCCTGGCACTTGGTTGGCCAATGGCAGCTTGTGAACATTTACCATAGTAATGTATACTTTTTACACCACCTGAGTTTTGACGATTTCAACGAACAAAAAGCCCACCAACTTTTTAAAAAAGCTTTTTTACTATTTCCTTTAGGAGCGCACTCTTTTCTTCGGCAGTCGGCAACTGGCCGCTAACGTTTTTTCACCACTAGCTTATTCCCACAAATCGTATCTTATGAGAATCGCCTGTGCTTGTACGCCAGGTACAAGCTTGTAATAGCTAAACAAGGAATAGGAAAAGGAAAATCTCACATAGCTAGTTTAAAAGACAGCAATGGTTTAAGACAGACAGAAAAAGGAAAAGTAGTTAAAATATGCACAGACTTTTATAAAACGCTATATTCAAACAACTTGAGACCCCAACAGGCAATAACCATATACTCGTACTCACAAGGGCGGATCCAGCTTTGGTGCCAGGGGGAGGTCACGTAGTCGTGGTCAATTGATAAGAAGTTAAAATTAAATTTTTATAATCATAGATACAAGTGAAAAGTAGGTATTTTTAAACGACTTCAAAAAGAAGGAGGTTATCAATTCGGATGTTTACATTTTTTTTATGTATGTTCGGGCATAACTTCGTCATATATAGACGGATTTGCAAAATTCTTTTTTTGTTCGTAACAATTCGTTGCTTTTTATTGTCATATATTATACAGATGGCTTTTATAAAGGTGCCCAAATTCATACAGGAAGTTCAAACTCGGTAGTATAGCCGTTTATTGAAATAAATCTAAACATTTTTTTTTTAATTAAAATTGGCATTCCCTAAAAAACTTGTTGACAATGCGGTAGTCATTCATAAATGCGTCGTATACTTTTGAAACGAACTTGTCTGCGTGTTAGTTATGAAAGCCAATTGCCCATAAATCAAGCACTTTCTGAGATAAGTTCAAATGAATGTAATTAATTAATTAGTGATTTTAAATATTTATCATTTTTTACTATAACTTTTTTTATGTCTAGAATTTAATAAAAAAAATGGGTACACTTAGAAAAGCCTCCCTGTATAGTATTTTTTTTAAGTAGCTATTGGTAGGCTTACTTATTTTTGAAATTTCTCTTTATTTATTTCTTCGTTACCAGATTTTATGTAGTCGTATTGGTTATAATATTTTTCAATTCCTCTACTCCGCACGCTGGCTCCACTTCAATGACAAGTAGCCTAAGACGGGACTATCGGGACACGGGTTAATAATAATAATATATAATCAACCCAAATGAAAACTCCTAAAATAGCCGGACACAAAAAATTTCATCGTACACGTTAAATTTTTTTTTCATAAATAACAAAAAAAATATTTATTCAGTCATTCATAATATTCAGCGTTCGTCCATCTTATCCGTCTAATCACAGACAGAATCCACATTCATACCAACGGAACGAACAAACTTTACTTGCCAAAGATGGGGTCGCATACTCACGTCCACTAAACCACCACCCGTCAAAAACGGCCCACCCATTAAGACCAATCAAACTCGACGCCGTTGTGTTCCTTAATTACTGAGTTCCTATGGCCACATTCCAGCTCTGTCATCAGACCCTGGTTACCATCTAGCACTAAAGAAATCGACAAGACGAAACAAACGAGCCGAAACTCGATAGGGTTCAGTCGTTTCATTACAGAGTTATCATAGGAACCTCACAGAATAGACCTCACAGAAGATCGGCGTAAAGTACTTCTGCGTTTTGTCTGGTGAGTGAGGTAGCCAGAGCACACTTTATTGTAAGGAGAAAATGCATCTGCAACCCTATGCATATGTCAATGGACGGCTGAAGATGGAGCTCCATCATAAGATCCTGGTTACCTATGAAATTAATTAATTTATTTATTTATTTATCTAAGTGAAAGACAAACTACTCGTTAATACGATTCAAATGTACCGAACGCGATGAGGCTCTGTCGT